TTTGCCACTGCATTGAAGAGAATTGTTACCTCCCACAAGGAGGTGGCTTGATTCTTTGTTCTAGTCCTCTGTCCATCTGTATCAATGAACCACCAATAGTTTCTGAGTACTTGTGTAGGGTGCTTTGATCATCAAAACGGAGTTCTAGAGTGTGCGACTTGACTTCTGGAAGTGTCCTAAAAATACAGTAAGCAAGTGCCACCGAGCTGTTACTTCATTAGCTCTAATTTCCTTTTTCTTGTGGGGACCTTCCACAGCTTGGCCGACCTGGAAAGCTTGCCTGGAGGGTCACTGAGTTAGCTGCTGCAGTACCTCGCCTGTCTGGACATGGACTCGGACTAACCATCCTCACCTTGGATCCATAGTGAGACTGAGAGGACTCACCTGGGACAGGGCAGCTCATTTTTCTAGCTGAATAACAGTGAGAAAACCGTGATTGCTTAGAAATTCAAAGGGGTCATGTATTAAGGAAGTTATTTTTCCAAATGAAGTAGCTATTGTGTAATCTAAGGAGTCCTGGCGGTACAGAGTTTAAGCTCACAGTTGCTAACCAGAAGGTCAACAATCACAGCTCAACTTATTGGTCCAATTGTGAGGATCTGGTCTTCTTCACGTGGGCTTGTGATCCATACCGAAGGCTACAATCCTTGATCTTCATCAGCAAGTGCCTCAAGTCCTCCTCACTTTCAGCAAGCAAGATTGCATATCCTAGGTTGGTAATAAACCCTTCGTCCAATCCTGATGCCTCATTCTTCATATCATCCTGCTTCTCTGATTACCTGCTCAGCATAGAGACTTAATAATAGTATGGTGAGAAAACAACCCTGGTGCACATTTCCCCCCGATGTTCAACTACACGGTTTTCCCTTGTTTTGTTCTCCTCACAACTGCCTCTTGATCCACGTGTAGGTTCCGCATAAGCACAATGAAGTATTCTGGAATTCCCATTCTTCTCAAGGTTGTTTGCTATGATCGACACAGTTGAATGCCTTGGCATGGTCAATAAAATATAAGTAAACATCTTCTTGGTATTCTCTGCTTTCAGTCTAGATCCATCTAACTTCAGCAGTGATATGCTTGTTTGACATCCTCTTCTGAACCTGTCAATGTATTGCTGAAACTGTTCTAAGGTAATTCCCAGGAAAATTTTACTTGCATTGATATCAAGGATAGCGTGCTATCATTTGAGTATTCTGGTGGGCCACTGTTCTTTAAACTGGGTACAAATATGGATCTCTTTCTGTCAGTTGGCCAAGTAGTAGCTGTCTTCCAAAGTTTCTGGCATACAGGAGCATGCGCTTCCAGTGTTTCATCATATGAGCAAGAAAGTAAAAGTCCAAGCTGCAATAAAAGGATTAGCCAAAAATAAGGCTCTAGGAATTGATGGGATATTAGCCTTATTTTTGGCTAATGCTTTTATTGCAGCTTGGACTTCTACCTTTTTGCTCATATGTTCATATGCGTCCTCCTGAAATGTGCAATGATGACGTTCTTTTTGATAACACTGAGTTTTGGTACTCTTTCAACCTCCTTCTGATGCTTCCTGCTTCATTCAATGTTTGCCCACAGAACCTTTCGATATTCCAATTCCAGGTTTGAAGTGTTTCTTGAGTCCCTTCAGTTTTCGGTGGGCATGTGAGCCTTCTGCTGGGCCAACATATCCAAAACGAACCTGTGCTCACCATCTCCATCACCTGACACTGGCCAGAGGGCTTATTTGCTTTATTGAATTTTTCATAATAGTTCATCTGTGGAAAGTAATACCCCCAGTTTCTTTAGACATGTAATTGATTTGCATATAACTTAAGGAATCTATCAGGCACAATTATATTTTCATTTTACTCTAGGTCTCTTTTTGTTTAAAAACCAGAAACTAAAGGCCTGTTACTCAATAAGCCAGTGGTTCTCACCCTTCCTAATGCTGCGACCATGTTGTGGGGATCCCCCAACAATAAAATTATTTTCATTGCTACTTCATAACTGTAATTTTGCTACTGTGATGAATCGGGCAACCACTGTGAAAGATTCGTTTGACGGCCCCAAAGGGGTTTCGACCCACAGGTTGAGAACTGCTGCAGTAAGCTCTGAAGTCAGAGCATAAACCTTCCAGGATGAAGCATGTTGAGGAAACATTGTGATATTTTTCAATGAAAAGTGTTCATGTCAGTGGTTGAGATCTATGTGTATGTCTGAGGCTAAAAAGGCCCAGCTGAGCTTTGCCCCAGGAAGATCTCTAGACTTCGCTCTACCTGAGCCTGCTCTAAGATCATGCAGTGGTTCCATAAGACCACTCAGATTCAAGTTCACTTCAAACTCGACTGAGTCCGTTTTTCTGGCTCTGCGGTCTGGAGCAGCCTGCCCTTGGGGGATGACACTGGGTCTCTGTGACTCTTGCGCCCATATGTCGAAGGAAGGAGCAAAGGCCTCTTCTTGACGCCCTTTCTTTGGGCAAAGGGGTAAGCACTCAGCTGCTAACCAAAAGATCTGTGGTTCCAACCCACACCCTGGCTCCATGAAGAGACTAGCAACCTGCTTCCGGATAAATTACAGCCAGCAAAACTCCACTGGGCAATTCCGCTTTGTCACACGGGGTCTCTGTGAGTCAAAATTGCACCTAACCACAACAACCACACTCCAAAGGCAAAACACCAAATAAGCTGATAGAGAAGCCACCGTCTAGCGCTTCTGCCTCGTTCCTGATGTAGAGGCACCAGACATGAACGAGCCTGTGGAATTCCCCTTGAAAATCAGTAACCTACACCTTCTCCAAAACGCAGACCATCTTGGTAAGTAGGGACATCTTGGCCAAGATGGCTTTACTCTTATTTCTCAGGAGCTGATGGTTTCTTAGCAACACACAACCATTTAATTAATTAACACTCAAAAGTCACCGGTCAGTACAGTGTGACTTGTAGTCAATTAAGATGGCCCTTCTAACCATCACTCCTTATGTGATGTGTTAGAATTCTGGACTCTAAGCTGTGACTACGATCCTATTTTGGAGGGCGTTCTCTGCTGTGCTAATGGACCAGATTAAGGTGGGATGGAGATCTGACATTAGCATAGGGGAGGAGCCCTGGTGGTGCAGCGGCTATGAGTTGGGCTGCAATCTGCATGGTCAGTGGTTTGAAACCACCAGCACCTCCTCTGGAGAAAGACTGGGCTTTCTATTACCAAGTACAGTGACAGTCTCAGAAACTCACAGCGGCAGTTCTACCCTGTCCTGTAGGGTAGCTGTGAGTTGGCATCGTGGTAATGAGTTCGGTTTTTTGGTTTAGTACCAGGTATGAATGAGTAATGAGTTTGGTTTTTGGTAATGAGTTCGGTTTTTTGGTTTAGTACCAGGTATGAATCTGGGACAGCTTTAGATGCTGCCTTAGTAGAGTTACTGTCTTTTGTTTTAATTGGATGGGGTATAGATATTCTTAACATACTCATATCACTTGGAAAGCTATGCCACTAATTTCTGACTAAGCTTTGGTAGAAGGAAGAAGACCTGATGTGACCTTTGGACCCTTTTGACTTCTGACTGCATTTCAGTAACATCTGCCTGGCCATGGGCTTTCTTTGGGACTGAACAGCATCCATAGCATCCACCACCAAGGGAGACATTTCCTCAAAGTTTGATGAGTTTCTGTGGGCTTTTGCAGTGAATCAAAAAACCATGGATGTGAAGGAATATCCTTAAGGGAGGAGTGGAGGAAATGGAATAGTTTAGCATCTTGGAAAAGTTGGACATTTGGGACATACTTAATCTCCAATTCCTTGAGACTAGTCTGGTATGAATTTTTCTGAAAGAAGTTATTCCTACACAGTACAATGTTAGTAAATCGACAATCAATTCTTACAAACAGCCAAACACATTCTATGTGAATAATTTTTCATATAAGGCTGTGGTAGTTACATAATCTGGTTTCAATTTAAGGATTAAGAGTGTAGGGGTGGAGTCTACCCTGTCAATCAGGAAATAACCAATGAGACCTCTGTGTGGGTATGGCTTTCTCCTGAGGATTCTGGGAACTCCTGCCAGAGCTGAAATTTTACAGTGTCACTGGATCCACAAGACTTCCCACCCACTGGCCTGTGATCGTCCTGCATTTGGCGTCATTGCATGTGTTTCATGAGTCTGAAGAGGAATTTATGGGTTGGTATCGGACATATGGGCTAATATCGGACTTAGGGACTTGGTCTGAACTGGGCTGGGATGTTTTCTCAATATTCAATTGCTCTTATATATAAAGCTCTTTCCTACACACATATGAGTGTCTATGAATTTGTTTCCTAGTCTACCCAGACTAACACAAAGGTGATATAGTCGAAGAATTGGTCCAGAATTGCCTAATGGGAATCTAATCAACTTGGCTCGTACTCTAAGTGAGAGCCTCAACCACCCGCCAGTCAGTCAGTCTTGGAAAGAATGACTCCAATAGGTCTCTGGGTGTTGCAAGCGGTTGGTTCTCAACTACTAACCTGAAGGTTGGTGGTTGAACCCACCCAAGGGAGTGGGTTCCATCTGTTTCCATAAAGCTAAGTCAAAAATACATGGAGCAATGTTGGGGAACACAGTTATGGAACACTGTGCACCACCATGAGTCAGAATCAACTGGATACAACAGGATTGATTTCTTTTTAAATATATACTTGGCAATAGGTTCAAAATCATTTATTAATTAACTAGAGATTATAATTTCATCTCGTGGCCGATTTATTATTGTAGGAACAAGTTTTCTCTAGCTGTTGAACCTTGTGATGGAACTTCTATTAAAAACTACAGACCTTCAACAAATTCTGTAAAGTCTAAGTGACACAAGAAAGTAGAATTGCGCATTCATTCATTGCTTCATTCCATCCCAACCATCTTACCATAAGTCTTTTAATTCACTGAGGCCATTTTAAAACCAGAGAGAAAAAGAAAACTTTACAAAAAGAAGCCCCAGACAGATGCACAGGGAGGGCACCTAATTACATGTTTATCACTGAAAAGAATCTTTGAGCTAGTGTCTGCCACCCCCTTTCCTAATGAGACATTTGGCCTAAGAGAGATCGAACCGCAATCTTACTGAGCTCTTAGAATACACCGAACTGCAAATGTAAATGAATTTAGTGTCTGGTATTCTCAAAACACAGAGGCTTAACCCAATGAGGAAGTATTATCATATATCACACATTATCATCTTCTATTTTTATTTCATGCTAGAAATAGCCTCATACACTCTAGCTAGAGCTTCCTAACAAACCAACCAGAAATGATCACTCAGATGCTTGTCATTGAAATCACCATAATTGAAGGAGCCAACCCAGCCAACGCAAGGAAGGAAGAATCCTGAGATGTGGTTTGCTCAAAGCTATGCAAAACCAGGCGCCCCGCGGCTTCTTCCAGGCGTCTCCAGCAGGGGTGCATATCCTGCTCCAAGTCTTCGGCGCTGCAGAGTAAACAGCAGCGCAAAGACCCCAGCCAGCGCGGCCAGCACGCCTAGAACCAGCAAGAAGACGGTGGCCGAACCTGCGGTTTCTTCCGTTCCTTTAACTGCAATTAAAGCCGAAGACAAGGGTCTCAGGTCAGAATTTTCATCAGCTGAAGGCTCTCAGGAGAGGAGAGACTAGCCCAATTTGCTTTTCAGGCGCATTTTTGTCAATAAAGCATAACTACTCTTGCTAGAGTGAAATTTATCTTCCCCTTCCTTGCCACCTATTTATCATACCTATAATTGTTTTTCTTGAGGAGGATGAAACTGGCAGTCCCTTATTTAAATACAGCTTATTGCATTATTTTTTTTCTTACAATACTTAATCCAGAATAAACCCTCTACCGACTTTTGTGAGTTAAAAATGCATTTGTGAAAGTGCCTGCTCAAAGGTATCTGGAGGAACTGCAAATTATACAGCCCCGGGATGAAGACATTCTGTTATGAGCCCTATTTCTGTTCCAGGTGATGCGTGTGTGAGGGGGAGGAGATCGGCTGTCATGACAGAAGGTCCCCATAGCAGGGGCAGGTGGCATTTCTTCTCATTTAAATGGTGGTGAATTAAATCCTACTCTTCCACCTGTAAATATAACCCCCCAGGATCTTTTAAAACACTCTTTGGCAAAATTAATAGATTTCCTTTGTATTATATTAATGCCCTTTTATCATGTCTTAACATTTTCTTTTCTTAAGTGAGACTGTTAAAAATCCCATGTGCTGAACTACTGCAAGTTTGGTATCGGCATTCATCGAGGTGTGGACCCTCCTTCTAATCCTTGGCTTCCCCTCCCACAAAGGGTCTCGCCATCCAGAGGGGCGTCTACCAAAAGGATTTTAACTTGTTC